TGGCAGAGCATGCCTGGGCCTGGTGGGATTAGGGTCTGACCTTGTTTTTCTGGGCGCCTGGTTCTGCCAGCATCCTTTAGCTTTCCTCCCCAGGCTGTCCACCTTTGCAAGGCTCAGAGGGAGAGAAAATGTGTTCCCCAGCAGCAGGAAGGACTTAGGTTAGATATAAAGCAAGCCCCTTTGCCCAGGTGTTGGAGGGCTCTTCCTCCCAGCACCTGTGCTCCCAAATCCCTGGTTTGTGCAGAGGAAAGGGAAGTCTCTACTGCTCTTTCAGACCAGGGAGCCGTCCAGGGCTGGCTTCTGCTCCCTGCACCCAGCTGAGTGCCCACTAAGTGCCCACATCCCTGTGGTGACCTGAGTCGTGACATTCCAGCTCAGCTCCTGGCAGCCTCGCTGGAGGGGAGAGGGGGCAACTCCACAGGGGCTCTTGGGCACCAGGGCATCCAGAGGGGCAGCAATCCCTGGGACACCATCTGAGGACCAGGAGAATGGAGAACGGGTCCTGTTTCAGCAAATCCATACCACCTGCATGTGCTGGGGGCCGTGGGAAGCAGTCTAGGGCTCCGTCCCTGCCTGCTACAGGTGACCACGCACCTCAAGTGGTGAGTCCCTGACTCAGGGTGCTCCACACCCCACACATGCCTTGATGCTAATAATAATCCTCAGGTGGGTACAGATCTTCAAAGGTTGCAGAGAGCTTTCATGCACCAGATTTCCAGCTGATCCTCCCAGCATCCTCATGAGGCGGGTTGGGGTTGGAAGCCCCTTTGTACAGAGGAGGAAACGGAGGCTGAGAGGAGAGAGCTGAGCCCCAGCACTGGGTTTCTGGGGAGCACATCTGGGGCCAGAGCTGAGGCATTCAGCCCCCTGCCTTTGCTCTTACCATGTGGATAACACACTGTCAAAGATGGTCACTCCCGGGGCCCTGAGCTGTGGACAGGGGTGTTTCGAATAGGAGCAGGGAGCGAAGGGAGTGGGGCTATGGTGAGTGGTGTTTTCCAAGCTGGGCTTTTCTTCTCCTTCCCGTGGCAGACCTGCTAGTCACCGCTGCATGATGAGACTCTGAGGGGGAGACCTGAACATCTGGGGGGAGTTGGGGCCAATCGACGTCATCTCAGTCAGCTTTGAGGGAAGGATGCAGGGTGCAGGTAGTGGCTCAGGCCACCCGGCAGGTCTGGGATGAACGGGGTGACTGCTCAGTGCAGCACAGAGTAGTTTATCTGGTCACACAACTGATGTAGCACTGATAGGTTTCATCATCTTAAGAATAGTAGTTTTAAAGTATAACTTTGTCTAGGGCTTACCATAGAGCAGGCACCATGGGAAGGGCTCGATATTTGTTACTTCAGTCCTCGAAATGGCTCATGAAGCTGATATTATTACCATCAGGGCCGGCTTCATGAGCGAGGGGCCTGGGCAGCCCCACTGGGCCCCGTGCCTGCATAAATGGTCTGCAGTTGCCATCTTGAAATTCTTAGTACTTTTCCACAGGGAGCTCTGCATTTTCATTTTGCGCCGAGCCCAGCAAATTCTGTAGACAATCCTGGTTATCCCCTCTTCTTAGAAGAGGACACAGAGGCACAGAGTGGTCGAGAAGCGACATGTCCAAGATCACAGAACGGGGCGCCCTTGACAGGGGGTCTAACCTCTGGAGTAGAGAGAGGCCAGCCAGAGTCCAAAGACTGTACCCAAATCCGGCTGCCGGCACCTGTCTGTGGTCAGGGGTGACTCACTTCACCCCTCCCAACCTTGATTTTCTCATTTGTGAAATGGGGTGATCCCACCTGCTCCTCGGGGCCCCTGGGAGGCTTGAGAGAGAGGATGCGTACACGGGTTCTTTCACACACTCCCTAAGCTTAGCAGATCAAAGGATCATCATTAGCTGACTCACAGTGCATTGGCGCTCCTGTTAATGCCTCCAAGTCCTTCTGACACCGTCTTCACAGGCCTTCTCTGCTTTAGAAACCGCCAATTAAAATAAACTCCCCCTACCCTTGGAGGCAGCCTCATAAAGTCATGGAGTCATAGCTCTTTCCCACTCCAAAGGGAAGACCCTTCCCTAACAGGTTCTCCCTCCAGCCACAGCTGCCTCTGCCTTCTGCAGTGAAGTATGCAGCTCAGGGAGAGAATAGTCCGTGTCATCTGCTCACACAACTGCGGTGTGGCGGGAGCATTACTTACGGTTTGTCTGCGATTAGATCCTCTCCACAAAGCTTCACTGGAAACCATCAGAGCTTCCCTGTCTGGGGGGGAAAGAATCCTGTAAGGTAGAGCCACCCCGAGGCACACTCAAAACATTCTGCAAAGAGGCCTCCAGCGCCTGGGAGGGGCTGCTAATAGGTCTTTAGATTCTGAGAGATTCTAAAGAAGCCTGTGTGACCTTGAAACTGCACAGGAAGCCCCTCCTGAGAACACCCAGCATTTGCAAAGCATCCTAAGCCTGCAGAAAGTGTGTACGAACCTTAGTTCTGCCAATCCCCCAAACCTAGGAGGTTGGTATTATCACCCCCATTTTATAGGCAAGGAAACTGAGGCTCAGCAAGCCTGACAGCACCTACAGTTTGGCCATCTGATCCCTAGTCTAGTGTTTCTAGCTCAAGACCAGTGGTTCCCAGCCCTGGCCGCTCACTCACATCCCCTGGGGGGCTTTAAAAACACCCTGATGGCCGAGTGCTGCCCCAGATTAATTGAATCAGAACCCCTGGGAGTGGAGCCTGAAAATTCATTTTTATGGAAGTTCCTCTGAGGATTCCCATCTGGGTGGCTAGAAGTGAGAACTAGGTTTCTCTGCCATTGGTTGGGATAGAATATTCCTCCTCATTCCTCAGGGATGCCCCCAAATGGGCCAGGCTCAGAGCATGGGGAAGACATCCAGACTTCCTTTGGTCAGATCGAGTTGCAGGCAGGGATTATAGAAACAGTCCAAAAAAAACAGCAAGCTCTGTTCTTCTTCTTCTTCTTTTTTTTTAGGATTTTATTTATTTGAGAGAGAGAGAGCAAGCACAACTGGGGTGAGGGGCAGAGGGAGAAGCAGACTCCCTGCTGAGCAGGGAGCCCAACATGGGGCTCGATCTCAGGACACCCTGACCTGAAGGCAGACACCTAAATGACGGAGCCACCCAGGTGCCCCCAAATTTTATTTATTTGAAAGACAGAGAAAGGAGAGAAAGAGAGCATGAGCAGGGGCAGAGGGAGAGAGAGAGGAGTAGACTCCCCGCTGAGCGGGGACCCTGATGCGGGACTCAATCCCAGGATCCTGGGATCATGACCTGAACCGAAGGCGGACGCTTAACCGACTGAGCCACCCAGTTTGTTCTTCTTGAACATCTCCATTGCTGGGTGGGAGAAAAGCCCCAGAGCTTCCCTGGGGCGCTGAGACTATGTTTTTATTTTGCCCCTGCCCAACCCTCTGCCTCTTCCTATGTCTGTCCACCAACACCCTGTACCCAGTTCCCATCACCCAAACAAGTAATCAGAACTCTTAGTTTTAGTTTTGCTCCTTGCAGAGATCGTTTTAGGCTCACGGAAGTCAATAAAAATCTGTCCCTTCTCCTCCCTTTCCACACCAACAGCACACTCTCCAGACTATGAATGTCTTGTTTTCTTCGTGTTAGCTTTACCTTGGACGTTATTCCACATGAATTCATTCTTTTTCTGCATGCCCTCAGCACATGTTTTTAAAGATCACCCTGAGAACCAAGGACTTCTCTCCTTGGTTCGAGTCAAATGTCCCCTACTCTGATGTGCCCGTCTCCACTTGCCCGGACCCCGTGGGTGCAGGGAAGTGGCTGGGAGGTTGGGGTCTCTCACTCGGACTCGGAGTTCCTTCTTTACCCTGTGCTCAGACCACCTCCCCAGAGTTGGGAAGGCCAAATCTGATGAGAGCCGCGCCCTTGTCCGTGAGGCGCTGCAGTGCGGGTATTTTAGGTAAATGTGGGAACCATCTTTCTCGAACAGTGAGTCACAAGCCTCGCTCGGTTTAACAGTCCTCCTTGAGGGAGGTCAGCTCTTCCCTCAGCTGTTGCAGGTTTATTTGCTTCCTCCTCGGAAGAGGTGAGGTAAGGTGGTGTTCCTGGAGGAAGAAGCTGAGAGTGGAAGAGCCAGCGCCCGAGGACAGGGGCTGTGGGGGGCGGGGCAGGGCCAGCTGTGTCGGCCTGGGGACCCACAGGTCGCTGGCTGTCGCTCAGAGGAGAGACCTGACCCTTCAGAATCAGACAACCCAGTCTTGTCCTCACTAATTGCCAGGAGCTCTCTGGTGAGTCATTCAAACTCAGAGCCTCAGGTTCCTTGCATGTTAAATGGGGACAGAAAGAAGTAACTTACAGACTTGCCTTGGGGACTGAATGTGATAATTCATTTTGTTAGACAGTGAAACTGTACAGAGCATTGATTTATTATTAACTTCTCTGCGTTAAGACTTGAAATCGCCTCACTTCTCATCCTGAGTGAGCAGTAGGCAGTCCTGTCACCTAACCTCTCTGAGCCTCAGTTTCCCCTTCTGGGGAGCTCAGGAATGTGGCAGGCCTCCTGCCAGGGGAGGGATTAGGACTGACATCATTTGCATCCTTCCTGCAGGGCCTCCTCCAACCAGCTGGCAGCCTCTCCCCGCCTGCCCTTGCCCGTGAGGAGGGAGCTGAGTCCTGCTTCCCCCCCGATCTGCCTGCACCTCCAGGACTGATAGCTCTTCTTGGAAAATCTGCCCCCAAAGATTCCTGCTGACGCTTGTCTGTTCCTGCCCTTTTGTGAAACATGGCACCCACAGGACTCCGGGAAGAATCTTAAATCCTGAGCCTCCACAGCGGCTCTGGAGGGCACTCCGTGTGGCTCATCCACCGTCCCTGTCAGCTCCGGGAGCTGCTCACATCCCAGCAATGCCCTCAGGAGCCCCGACCCCAGCTGGATGAGACCATTCCTGAGTGGGACCCAACCTTGCCACCCACCAAGATTCGCACACCGCCCCCCGCCACCTCCCATGCCCGGCTGCCCCAGCAGACTCTAGAATGTCTGTGCCTCAGATCCAAGTAGAAGAAGTGGCAGGTGGGCAAGAAGAGACGGCAGGAGAAGCCCTGCCTCCCGACGACCACCTCCGGAGCCTGAAGGCTCTCACTGAGAAACTGAGGCTGGAGACCCGAAGGCCCTCCTACTTGGAATGGCAGGCCAGGCTGGAGGAGCCGACATGGCCCTTTCCGAGGCCAGCTGCTGAGCAGGGGGAGCATGGGGAGGAGGAGCCCTCATCCCCAAGGAGAGAGCCCAGGCAGCATCCCCCACCCAACGGGAGTGCCAGCCAGGACGCTGGGCCCCAGTCCACCGGCAAGCTGGAAGGCTTTGAAAGTATTGACGAAGCTATAGCCTGGCTCAGGAAGGAACTGGTAAGAATCCCCGGAAAAGATACCTCTCTCTCTCTCTCTCTCTCTCTATATATATATATATATATATATCTGTCTCTCCCTGTCTCCTGTCTGTGTCTCTCTTTATCTCTCTGTCTCTCCCCCATCTCTGTCCTTCCCAACTGCATGTCTGTCATTGTCCTATTAAATCAAGGGTGGACCTCATTACTGTGTGGTTACAGGAGATCCACATGCCAGTCAGCCCCTAGTCACAGGTACTTATGGAGGAACTGTATTTAAGGAGCTGCCCAGAGGTTGGCGTGGTTGATGGGGCCTGAAAGCTTTGGGCTGGGTCTCAGAGGCTGAGTGGGAGTCTGCCCAGAAGTCAGGAGCTGGCGGGGGGGCATCCGAGGGAATGAGCATGAGCAATAGGTACGCTTGGGGATGGGGGGGGCAGCAGCTTGACCTTTTCTCTGCCCAGGGGCTCAGCAAGCTCCCAGCAGATTCCCAGCAGGGACATCTCTAGCATGTGGGAAAGGGAATGGGTGTTCAGAGCTTTGTGCCCATAGCCCAAGGGAAAATCACTGGTCCCAGGCATAGGGCTCCTCGGCAAAGTTGGGCACAATGCTAATGCTCCCCGTGATCTCAACTCCTGCCCCTCCTCATCACCTGTGGCCCAGGTCACACCTGCCCAGTCAGGCCACTCTAGCCACAGGTGAGCCAGCAACCAACGGCCAACTGCCTTCGAGAGCCACTCATAACTCCTGTGTCAACAGGGTAGGCAGAGGGCTCCCCGGTTTGTTCTGCAAAAGCCCGAAAAATAGATCCCCTTTGGGGCCTAGAATTCCTCATGTGTTGAAATAAATCATTGGGGCAGGGGGGAGGGGAGGCTCAGGGACTCAGGTGTTCTGATCCATTGGAAATCTTTTTTGGTTTTCATGTTTAGTCTTTAATGTTGAAACTACTTCCCAAAACACACCACTCCACGATGTCTGTCTTTAGTAACTGGAGTGTCAGTTGGATTGCACAGCAAATGGGGCACCTGTGGATTCAGGCTGGGTCTCTGGACACTTCACTGCCACGGGGTGCTCTTGGGGGGTTTAAGAGGTGAGTCGAGAGGGACACGCGGTGGGCCTGGCTCTTTAAAGCTGCTCCTTAAACTCCTGAGGCTGAACTGCTTTAGTTGGTTTTCACAAAGAGAACAAAAATATCTCCATCAATCAAGGATTCAATTACTGGGCTCTGGGCCCATTTGAGGTTTTATTGCTTCTGGGAGGGGAGGCCTTTGCTTTTGAAATAAATTAGCGTTCCTTGTGGGCCCCCTTTTGGGGTAGAGAGTAGAGAAGGTATTCCCTGTGTGTGAACCAGGAGGGAGTTTTCTAGAGCTTGTCCTCCTCATCCTGTAGATGAGAGAGGTGTCTCTCAACTCTCGCTGCATATTAGAGTCACCTGGGAAGACTTAAAGGGTCCCAGAACCTAGACACACCTCAGATCAATCAAATGAATGTCAGTGGGTGGGCCCCAGGCATCAGTAGATTTTAAAGTCCTTCCCCCCACCCCCTCTCTACCCCTGGCACTTCCAAACACAGCCTAGATTGAAAAGCATTGCTGTAGATCTACAGGCTGTGCCCCTTTTCCTCGACCAGCCATTGCAAGCTAAGCTGCATGAGTGACCGGGCCAGACTATATGCTGAGAGAAAGCAGGTGGGCCAGGTCAAGGACAACCATGGGTAATGTAGAGAGCAATGCTCTGTAGGCAGAGAGAGAAGCACTAATTGTCAGGACTAACTTGACTGCCAAAGGCTGTCTGAAATAAGTACACGGAATGTCAGCATTAATAATGCTTTATATTTGCATGATATTTTTTTTTCATATACGGTGTAGTAGGTTTTTTCCTATGTTTTTATTTAAATTCCAGTTAACACAGTGTAATATTAGTTTCAGGTGTATAATATAGTGATTCAATACTTCCATGCATCAGCTGGTTCCCATCACAAGTGCCCTCCTTAATCCCCATCACCTACTTCGCCCGTCCCCCAATCCCTCCCCTCTGGTAACCATCAGTGTGTTCTCTATAGTTGAGAGTCTGTTTCTTGGTTTGCCTCTCTCTCTCCTTTTTTCCCTTAGCTGGTTTCTTTTGTTTCTTAAATCCCACATATGAGTGAAATCATATAGTATTTGTCTTTCTCTGGCTGACTTATTTCACTTAGTAGTATACTCTCTAGTTCTATTCATGTCATTGCAAATGGCAAGATTACATTCTTTTTATGGCTGAATAATATTCCATTGTATATATCCATTCATCAGTCAATGGACACTTGGGCTGCTTCCATAATGTGGCTATTGTACACAATGCTGCTGTGAACATCGGGGTGCATATATCCCTTCGAATTAGTGTTTTTGTAGTCTTCAGGCAAATACCTAGTAGTGCAATTGCTGGATCGTAGGGTAGTTCTATTTTTAACTTTTCTTTTAAGATTGTATTTATTTATAAGAAAGGGAGAGCAGGGGTTGGAGGGAAGTAGGGGGAGAGGGACAAGCAGACTCCTCGTTGAGCATGGAGCCCAATGTGGGGCTCAATCTCCCGACCCTGAGATCATGACCTGAGCTGAAACCAAGAGTCAGAGGCTTTAACCGACTGAGCCACCCAGGAGCCCCTCTATTTTTAACTTTTTGAGGAAACTCCATACTGTTTTCTGGAGTGGGGGCTGTGCCAGTTTATTTGCATGGTATTTACCACCCTTCCCACCATTTCTCTGTGCTACTGGGGATGGGTAATAATAGTAATAATAATAATAATAATAATAATACTGAGATTTGTCACTAATTGAGTGTGTGTTGTGTGCCACACACTTCATGTGCATTACTTACTTCTTTTGATTGTCATATCACTTTCCTGTCAACCCCATTTTACAGAGGAGAAAAGAAAGGCTCAGAGAGAGAGTCGAAATTTGAACTCTGGCCCATCTGGTTGTGTTGCCCACGCTCTTCTTAGCCACCGTGCTACGTAGTATCTTCCAAAGGCAATGGATCTTGCTGGGTGATTCCTAAAAATGTACATTCACAAAGATGCCAGCAGTGAACAGAATGCATGGGAGTGGGGGCCAAGGAAGAAATAAGACTGAAGAGTCCCAGTCCTCACACCGTTATTTCCTTGTCTTACGTCAGACCCATGTGATTGCTGTCATTGTCTCCATTTTACAGATGAGTAAAGTGAGGCTCATAGAAGTCAGATGCCCTGCATAGGGTTGTATGACCAGGAAGTGCCAGAGCCAGAGCTTGAACTCAGACTTCACCAGTGAGGGTGGAGAGCTATGGGGAGAAGAAGCAGGAGAGCTGGCCCTCCCGCAAAGGGCCCAGGTGGGCATGCTGAATGAGCAACGACAGGGGTGGATTTGTGCTCCAGAAATCCCTCTGGAGCACTTCTTAGAGCAGTGACTCCCAAACTAATGTGCATACAGATCACCTGGCTCTCCTGGTAAAATGAAGATTCTGATCCTGTTGGTCTGGGACGGGGTCCATGATTCCAAATTTCCAACAAGCTCCAAGGTAATGCTATATACTGCTGGTCCACGGACCACACTTTGAGAAGCAAGGACTGAAAGGCAGGCAGGACTGGGGCCAGGGAACCAACAAGGGACCTCAGAGGGAAGCCCCAGGGATCCCCAGGCCTGCACCCTGAGCTGAGCTGCTGCCATAGCTGCCCTTTTGGCTCAGGGCTCAGTCAGTACATGGGCCTGTGGGAAGGAAGTCCCAGCATCCCACACCGAGTTGTCCAAGAACCAGATTCCATCAGAGATTGTATGTCTGCGGTCAAAAGCAGCTCAAATGCCAACTGGCAGGCAGGCCAACTTGAACATGCAGTTCTGCCCACTTCGCTTCCGGATTAAATAGTAACAAAGGCAACTCGTAAAATCCTTGGACTGGATGGAAAACACGGAGTTCAGCATCTGCACAGCAAACGCATTCTCACATTTTTAGAATTTCAGTCAAAACACTTAACTTCATGTCATTTGTTTTCCTAATTTGTCATCTGTCAACTTACTGCAGGTGTCATTGAAAATTAAGCTGTTTTGGCGCCTGGGTGGCTCCGTCGGTTAAGCGTCTGTCTTCGGCTCAGGTCATGATCCCGGGGTCCTGGGATAGAGCCCTGTGTTGGGCTCCCTGCACAGCGGGGAGTCTACTTCTCCCTCTCTCTCTCAAATAAATAAATCTTAAAAAAAAAAAAAAATTAACCTGTTTAAAGAACCCAGTGAAAGTAGTTTCAAATAACCTTTGTTTTATTTTAAGCCCAGAGTTGTCTCTGTAGCTGGGTAGGCTCATAGGCAAATTTGTCTTTTCTCATGTGGCTAAGGTAGCAGATTAAAAATCTGTAATTCAGACAATCAGGTGGCTGCTTTGCCTCCAGGAGGTCAAACCCTCAATTTGTTGGAAGTTTTGGCTCCGGAGTAGGTTGTGCTCAATAGTGGGCAGGCCCTGAACAGCTCTGTGATTACCACAGGGCTGTCCCAGGAGCCGTTGATAAAACCAGTGAGGCCTTGGTTATCATTGTTGACACTTTCAGAGGCAGGCCAGGCTGGGTCTGGACAGACAGGCTAGTCCACCCCGTCCGTCTCCTACGAGGCCAGCTCAAAGGCAGAGAGTGACTGCCTGAATCTTATTTCCAAGGCAAGAAAGGATCCTAAGAGCTCCCTTGGGGGTTCACTCTCCCTCTCTGCTCTCACCACAGGGAAAATGACAAGTCACTCCTGACATGCTCCAGGGACTTATAAGTAGGGCAGATATTTCCTCCAGTCTCATGTGTTGGAGGATACGAGGAAGGTGGAGATCCTCAAACCCTGTTGGCATTGCTCCTCCAAGCTAGGAAGGCCTGAACTTTGGCTTCCCCAAGTATCCCAGGCCCCTGTCTCCATCTGACTATGGCAGGCAGGGCTTATGGCCTCTGTGTGCAGGGCTCAGACTTGGAGCTCAGTCCAGTGGCCGTGGTGCATCTCTGCTTGTTCCAGACTGCTTATGTTGGCAGAAAGTCCCAGCCTCCAGCA